TGCCCCCATTGCCCCCGATGTCCCTCAAAGCCCCCCCCCCCCAGCCCCCCCTCGCTCACCCTGTTGACCTTCAGCAGCACGCAGGGTCTCCCCGCCCCGTACCCGTAGTCGCTGGCCGCCCCCAGCCCGGCGCAGGGTCCCAGCAGGGAGCGGTTGAAGCGACAGGCCCTTTTGGGGTAATTGGGGACGCCGTCGTCCGGCTGCTCGTTGTAGCGACCCGGGATGCAGGCTGCGTTTCGGGCTGCCTGCACGCTGTCGTTGTACGCTGCACCCAGCACGGCACGTCGGACACACGGCACCGGGCACAGGGCCGCGCGGGGGGGGGGGGGGAGGGGGGCAGGGAGTGATGGGCTGGGCAACCATTGCGTCCCAGTAGGGGTGAGGGGTCGCCCAGTAAGGAAAAGGGGTGTCCCAGTGCGTCCCAGTAGGGCTGAGGGGTTGACCAGTAAGGAAAAGGGGTCTCCCAGTGGGTCCCAGTAGGGCTGAGGGGTCGCCCAGTGACTTCCAGTAGGGGTGAGGGGTTGACCAGTAAGGAAAAGGGGTCTCCCAGTGCGTCCCAGTAGGGCTGAGGAGTCATCCAGTGCGTCCCAGTAGGGCTGAGGGGTCACCCAGTAAGGAAAAGGGGTCTCCCAGTGCCTCCCAGTAGAGCTGAGGGGTCACTCAGTAAGGAAAACGGGTGTCCCAGTGCCTCCCAGTAGGGCTGAGGGGTGTCCCGGTGCGTCTATGTAGGGCTGAGGGGTGTCCCAGTAAGGAAAACAGGCGTCCCAGTGACTCCCAGTAGGGCTGAGGGGGCTCACAGTAAGGAAAATGGGTCTCCCTGTGCTTCCCAATATGAGTGAGGGGTCTCCCAGTGCCTCCCAGTAGGGTTGAGGGGTCGCCCAGTGGCTCCCAGTAGGGCTGAGGGGTCACCCAGTAAGGAAAAGGGTTGTCCCAGTGCATCCCAGTAGGGCTGACGGTTCTCCCAGTGCTTCCCAGTAGGGCTGAGGGGTCGCCCAGTAAGGAAAAGGGGTGTCCCAGAGCCTCCCAGTAGGGCTGAGGGGTCGCCCAGTGCATCCCAGAAGGGCTGAGGGGTCGCCCAGTAAGGAAAAGGGGTCTCCCAGTGGGTCCCAGTAGGGCTGAAGGGTCGCCCAGTAAGGAAAAGGGGTCTCCCAGTGCGTCCCAGTAGGGATGAGGGGTCACCCAGTAAGGAAAACTGGTGTCCCAGTGCGTCCCAGTAGGGCTGAGGGGTCGCCCAATGCTTCCCAGTAGGGCTGAGGGGTCACCCAGTGACTCCCAGTAGGACTAAGGGGTCGCCCAGTAAGGAAAAGGGGTGTCCCAGTGCCTCCCAGTAGGGCTGAGGGGCCGCCCAGTGACTCCCAGAAGGGCTGAGGGGTCTCCCAGTAAGGAAAACTGGTGTCCCAGTGCGTCCCAGTAGGGCTGAGGGGTCGCCCAGTGCATCCCAGTAGGGCTGAGGGGTCGCCCAGTAAGGAAAAGGGGTCTCCCAGTGGGTCCCAGTAGGGCTGAGGGGTCGCCCAGTGACTACCAGTAGTAGTGAGGGGTCGCCCAGTAAGGAAAAGGGGCGTCCCAGTGCGTCCCAGTAGGGATGAGGGGTGTCCCAGTAAGGAAAATGGGTCTCCCAGTGCATCCCAGTAGGGGTGAGGGGTCACCCAGTAAGGAAAACTGGTGTCCCAGTGCATCCCAGTAGGGCTGAGGGGTCGCCCAGTGACTCCCAGTAGGGGTGAGGGGTCGCCCAGTAAGGAAAAGGGGTCTCCCAGTGGGTCCCAGTAGGGCTGAGGAGTCGCCCAGTGACTCCCAGTAGGGCTGAGGGGTGTCCCAGTAAGGAAAATGGGTCTCCCAGTGCATCCCAGTAGGGGTGAGGGGTCGCCCAGTGACTCCCAGTAGGGCTGAGGGGTCTCCCAGTAAGGAAAACAGGTCGCCCAGTGACTCCCAGTAGGGCTGAGGGGTCTCCCAGTAAGGAAAATGGGTGTCCCAGTGCGTCCCAGTAGGGCTGAGGGGTCTCCCAGTAAGGAAAACGGGTGTCCCAGTGCCTCCCAGTAGAGCTGAGGGGTCACTCAGTAAGGAAAACGGGTCTCCCAGTGACTCCCAGTAGGGGTGAGGGGTCGCCCAGTAAGGAAAATGGGTCTCCCAGTGTGTCCCAGTAGGGCTGAGGGGTGTCCCAGTAAGGAAAACGGGTCTCCCAGTGACTCCCAGTAGGGGTGTGGAGTGTCCCAGTGCATCCCAGTAGGGCTGAGGGGTCGCCCAGTGGCTCCCAGTAGGGCTGAGGGGTCGCCCAGTAAGGAAAAGGGTTGTCCCAGTGCGTCCCAGTAGGGCTGACGGTTCTCCCAGTGCTTCCCAGTAGGGCTGAGGGGTCACCAGTAAGGAAAACGGGTCTGCCAGTGCTTCCCAGTAGGGGTGTGGAGTGTCCCAGTGCCTCCCAGTAGGGCTGAGGGGTCTCCCAGTAAGGAAAATGGGTCTCCCAGTGCCTCCCAGTAGGGCTGAGGGGTCACCCAGTGCCTCCCAGTAGGGCTGAGGGGTCGCCCAGTAAGGAAAAGGGGTGTCCCAGTGCCTCCCAGTATGGGCTTGGGACGGCCCACTGCCTCCCAGTATGACTTAGGGGCCTCCCAGTATGAGCTTGGGGCTCCCCAGTGCCTCCCAGTATGGGCTAGACATCTCCCAGTATGGAATAGGGGCCTCCCAGCTTCTCCCAGTATGGGCTAGGGGCTTCCCAGTAAGAAAAATGGGTGCCCCAGTGCCTCCCAGTATGAGCTACCGACCTCCCAGTAGCTCCCAGTATGGGCTAGAGGTCGCCCAGTATGGAATAGGGGCTTCCCAGTAAGGAAAATGGGTGCCCCAGTGCCTCCCAGTATGGGCTAGAGGCTTCCCAGTAAGGAAAATGGGTGCCCCAGTGCCTCCCAGTATAGGCTAGGGGCTTCCCAGTAAGGAAAATGGGTGTCCCAGTGCCTCCCAGTATGAGCTACTGGCCTCCCAGTGCCTCCCAGTATGGGCTAGAGGCCTCCCAATGCCTCCCAGTATGGAATAGGGGCTTCCCAGTCAGGAAAATGGTTGTCCCAGTGCCTCCCAGTATGGGCTACTGGCCTCCCAGTGCCTCCCAGTATGGAATAGTGGCTTCCCAGTCAGGAAAATGGGTGTCCCAGTGCCTCCCAGTATGGGCTAGGGACCACCCATTGCTTCCCAGTATGGGCTAGAGGCTTCCCAGTAGCTCCCAGTCTCAGTTAGGAGCCTCCCAGTATGGAATAGTGGCTTCCCAGTCAGGAAAATGAGTGCCCCAGTGCCTCCCACTATGAGCTACTGGCCTCCCAGTGCCTCCCAGTATGGGCTAGAGGCCTCCCAGTAGCTCCCAGTCTGGAATAGGGGCTTCCCAGTCAGGAAAATGGTTGTCCCAGTGCCTCCCAGTATGAGCTACTGGCCTCCCAGTGCCTCCCAGTGTGAGTTAGGAGCCTCCCAGTGCCTCCCAGTATGGGCTAGAGACCTCCCAGTGTCTCCCAGTCTCAGTTGGGAGCCTCCCACTGCCTCCCAGTATGGAAGAGTGGCATCCCAGTAAGGAAAATGGTTGTCCCAGTGCCTCCCAGTATGGGCTACTGGCCTCCCAGTGTCTCCCAGTATGGAATAGGGGCTTCCCAGTCAGGAAAATGGGTGCCCCAGTGCCTCCCAGTATGAGCTACTGGCCTCCCAGTGCCTCCCAGTATGGGCTAGAGGCCTCCCAGTAGCACCCAGTGCCTCCCAGTATGGAATAGGGGCCTCCCAGTGTCTCCCAGTATGGAATAGGGGCTTCCCAGTCAGGAAA